TTAATAATTATTTAGAAGCAAGAAAAGCTATTTTAGAGCAAAAAGAAATTCCTTTATTATTAATGGCAAATAAAGTTAATGCATCAGATGGTAGTCATTTTTCTTCTGGGTATTTTCTTATTGTTCCTAGTTTATTTGCATTAACTTGTTGGAGAAGAATAGTATGGCATTGTGTATTACCATTAGCATTAAAGGAAAGAAAATATTTAACATATGAAGCAGGGTTAATGACATATCCTGATGATTATGTTGACAATGAATATTCACAACAAATGAGTGAAGAACAAAAAGATATTTTAATAAAACAAGCTAGTTTGAAACCTAAATCAAAAAAAATGAATATTCAGAGATTTTCTGTTCAAAATCAAATACCATGGGAAATGAATTGGAAAGGATTTAAAGTTATTCGTAGAAAAGAATTTATTCAAAATGAACGTCAACTTAATATAATTCAAGATAGTCAAAACAAAATCATTAGATTTGAATTAATATCTGTTAATGGTCGTCCTGAACGTTTTGCTTATATCCATATACCAGAACAACAATTACTTGAACAATTTAAAACAAGTTGTTGTATTAAAATAGATCAATTAGATGAAAATGTTGTTGGTAGAATTATCAAAGGAGGTTATTCATTAAAAAGAGGATCGGGTTATGGAATTGGATTTATTTATTTGAATAAATACAATGAAATTATTAAAGAACATAAAGAGTTTGTTTTTTTTCTTTTTAAAGTTTAAGGAGTAGATTCTAACTTTATTAGCTTAATATTAAGCAATGGAAATATTCTTGTTTATTATAGAAATGCATTCTCAAAACATATTCATCTTGGAATTCTTTCACTTCTTCCATAATTTAAGTCATTTAAAACGAAAAGAAACTCCATTTATTTAAACTGATTAGATTGAATCTTTTTTTTTTGTTACCTTTGTATGAATTTTTTCATTTAACCAAGATATTAGTATCCTGTTCTTATATTTAACTGAATTTAAGAGTAAGAAACTAAAATAAGATTGAAATGGAATCAACAAGCGATAGTCTAAATCCTTTATTAATAACATCTCCCCTTGATACTAAAATAAAAAATGATGATTTAGTAGATGGTCCACCTTCAAGAAGTGTCAGTTCAGTGCCAGATGATGAGAGAAATATCAGAAAAGAAGACTTTTCAAGTTCTGTTATGGATAAAAATTCTACGTCAAGTGATATTTATGACCAAAATAAAAATAGTCCAACAACAAAAGGTATTATTCATGAACAAAGTTATTACAATAATGAAGGCAATGAAAATACAACCAGAGTTATGGAAGAATTGGATTATATTGACACTAAATTAGAACTAAAACTAACAGGGATTAATGCAAAAATACTGAAAAAAAAGAATAAAATACTAAACAAACAACTTGACCCTTCATTTAATGGAGAAAAAGAGAGAGTCATTGTTGCTATTCAGTCTAATAAAAATAAAAGGGGTGAAACAAAAGAAATATTTAAAAGAAAGAGAAGAGAGAAGATAAGCCGTTTCCTTCATTTAACAAAGACAAATTAATTAAAATCTATTGTTCTTCAACAGGAGTTAACTCAAAAATTGTTGTCCAAACTTTTCCTGCATATTTTGGATTATCACTTATTTTTCCCTTTACAACAAGTTGATATTTCTTTGAAAATAATGGTGTAACAATAGCACTTCTTTGTTGTTCATCCATATCTTGAAATTCTTGTGCAGTCTTACCTATAAATTTTTCAGCACAAGACTCTGATATATATGCCCAATGACTATTTCTATTAGACTCAGCATCTTCTTGAGTCTCATACAAAAGGGCATTAGTTTTATAACAAACTTTTCTTGTTGTATCCTTGCATTTAGGACATTGACAATTATCTTGTTCTATTTTTTTCTTGCATGTAGCACAACCATTATAAAAACAATTTAATATTTGAATTCTTTGTAAATAGGCAAGAACACAATAAGTTCTATCTATTTTTGAATTATTTATAAGAACATCATTAATATAATCATTCAAAGAAAAAATGGCAGCTGTTTGAGAATGTGTTTTTCTACAATGAGGAGGAGAGACAGAAATAAAATTAATGTGTGCTACATTTTTTCTCATCTCAATTAATAAATTATAATCATCTTGTGAAAATCCATGAGACATATTAGGTGGCAGATCATCGTATTCTGTGTCTTGACATGCAAGGTGTTGAGGAATATCATTATAAGAATTAATAACTTTTAAATAACTCCCTTCTCTAATAATACAATAACGCCCTTCTGGTTGGTGATTGATGTGACACCTTCCAAGTAAGAAAACTGTGTTTACTTTAATATTTTCTTTAATCCATTGATTCCATTTGCAAGTAAAACACCTTACAATAATAGAACGTCTAGAAACATCAGCAACTTTCATTTCAATTTCTTGGAACTTTCCTCTATAACTAGAGGAAATTTGTTCTGTTTCTATTTCTAAACAGAAACAAACAAAATTTGCATCATTTAATAAATTTTCACAAAAAGAAAAAGGAAATATTTTATTGATATAAAGGATAATCAAAGGAATTTCTTCTTTTGAACGATTATAAGTAGCTTCACGATAAAATTTTATTTCACTTTTCATCATTTCTGATGATTCTTTGTCTTGGTATGGATTTAATTCTCTTATTTGTAAATTATTAAAAGTCCACGTCTCATTTTCTTTAATTTTATCATAACAATCATCTACTTGTTTATCAAAAATTACTAATTTTACTTCATCCCCACTGTTATCTTGAAGAACAAATGTGACAATACTTCCTTTACTCCCATCCTGTTTATGATAATTCTTTTTAAATGATTTATAAATTACTCTTCCTGTATATTCTTTTAATGGGACAAACTCTCTTTTTTGAATAAGTTTATTACTTGACATCTTATAAAGTAAGAAAATCTATTATTTTTTGATAAAAAACATTTTTTAGTTTCTTTTTCTGTTATTTATTTCTCTCCAATGACTAATCCTAACCCTTCTTTTCTTCCTATTCCATCATTAAATTATACTTATCCTGAAATCTTTTTACCTTCACATTTAAATCAATCTTCTTCTTTCAAATCATATATTAAAACATTACCTTTATCAACTGTTTATGATGCAATAGAAAAAAGATTTGAATGGTATCATAATGTAATGATATCTCAATTTTTTACTTATGAAAATGCAACAACATTCTATCCTATTCGTTTATTTCACAAAGACATACCCTTTGAAGACTGTTTCCCAAATGAATCAGATATACCATTTGACTATGTATCTTTTTATTTCTTTAGAATATTTTTTTCTAATTCTATTCTTCATCTCTCTTTCTCACAAATTCACGAACTTTTTGTATATCTTGAAACAACTCTCTTTCTTATTCATCTTCAGTCATATCCTCATCGTATACCATTGATTCTACAAAATCAAAAAATAATTACTTTGGAAGATAAATTATTCTATTATATCCCCTTTGACAAAGTTATGCCAATGGTTACTTCAAGAAGATACCAAATGAAAAATGGATTACTTAGAGTTCCTCGTTCTGAATCAGACATTGTGCTCTCTTGTTTATTTTTCAGTATACTTCAAAGTGATAAAAGTTTAAACGTCCAAATGCCAAAAGAATTAGAACCTTTAAAACGTTTAATCAATCAAAAAATGAATTTGTTCACTCTTCGTTCTCCTTGTGGACTGGCATCTTTTGGTTGTGGTTCAAAACTAACTGCACAAACATTGAATGAAAATTTAAGAGTATTACCATTATGTATATACAACATTATTTTTAATATGAAGAAAAAAAGAAATATTATGTTTGACTCAAGGCATCAAATTGGTATATTCTTTTATCACTTCCAACTCCCTCAACAACAGTTGGCTTTATTCCTTACTACTTATATGAAAGAAAAATTCGATAAAGAACCTCAATTATATTATTACTTTCGGCATTGTTATGGCTTAGAAGGTTCTAAAATCACTGAACCAGTTTGGACTTGTCTTAATGTAAGAAGTAAAGAAGTTGGTCTAAATCAGTTTCATGGTTGTCCATTCGATCTCACTAAACACAACGAACATGACCTTAAAGAAATTCTAGTTAATTACCTCAAAGATTGGGAAAAAATCCCACCACACTATGACATAGAAGACATTGATAAGTACTTTCCTACTGAACAGGGAAAAACTATCAACACCATTCTTGATTATTCAAGGCATTTTTGTTGTGAGAGAGCATGTGAAACTCTTTTTCAATGCATCACTTCTACCTCAGTCGAAATCACTCATCCGAATCTTTATAGTTATCTTATCTATCCCTTTGTTTTTCCTACACAAGTTAACCAACAACCAAATTAACATAGAAGATATTTTTTTATTTCTTATATTCAAATTATTACTTACTGGTAGAAAGTCTCATTCTCAATAAAAACCAAAAACTTGTTAAATACAAAACCAAGAATAAACCAAAGGAATGCAAAAGAAGCTAAAGGTAATGAATAAGCATTAAACAAAAGTTTAATAAACGGTGTATTATAAAAGATAATACCTATCTTGCTATCAAAAATTATATCTTTTTTATCAATTATAATTCTTTAGCATTGTTCATCACCAATAAGTAATTGGAAATAATTCATTAATGAAAATTACCTTGTAATATATATTAATAGTCTTCGACTTCAACTTATGAAATTTCAGTTTTTGTCATTAGAGTTATAATCAGAAGTTTCTTCTTTTCTTTAAGAATTTTAATTTTTGTTCATTAAAGACAAGATATGATAAACTATTAGAGAAGTTTAATTACCTTATATAAAAACCCATTTGTGGCTCCACAGAATAAAGAAACTTTAAATAAGATAAAATTAAACTGAAACATAAGTATACCAGATCAAAGAAGATATTTTATTTATAATGAAAGGTTGTAGCGATGACTATTTTTCTTGTTACTTGAGTAGAAACTTGTAGTTTTAAACAAAAATAAACTACTAAATAATATGATTATTTCACCAAGTTTGGAAATAGTACCGTTTGTTTTCTAGTTCTTTTTTGTTTTTGTTTAGGAGGTTTTGGAGGGATAGAAGATGATTCTTTAGTATGGTTTAAATGGACAGTAGAACACAACAAATTTCTAAACTCACACTCCTTTTTTTCTTTGAGTTGATTGATTTGGATGTTCTTTGTTTGAATAGTTTGTTTTTTCGTGTTAATTTCATAGAGCATCTTCTCAATTTCTTTTTGAAGTGTCTGGACTTGTTGGTTTTTACTTTGAACTTTATTGAGAATTTCATTTTTCTGTTTCTCAAACTCATCTCGTTGTGTCTTTTGAGCATGTTCATTGTCAAGAACAATTGACTCGAGAGTGTTTTGTTTTTCTTTTAATGAATATTCAAATTGAGCCAAACGGTTAAGAGAGTCTAAAGCAAAGTCATTGACTCTATTGAGAATTGTAATAGACTCAATATCCAATGAAGACAATGGAACAAGAGAAGAATGAGGATAAACAGGAAATGAAAATGATGTGAGATTTGAAATATCAAATTTCATGACATTACTATCAATACTAATCTTACGAATGCTTTTTTCATTATCAACAATTGTTTGATGAGCCTTGATAATCTTTTCCATTTTTTTTTTTTTTGAATTATAATACTCTTGACACAAATACAATTAACAAGATGTGTCTTTTCATCATAACATATGAAAAGATGAGATACAACAAGAATTGTATAACATCAACAAATCAATCCTTTAATCTTAAAATCATCCTACTCATTCAAACTCTTCGTATCATAACATTATATGAAATATCAACAGTAAAAGATATTCTTTTATATTACTACTTATTGACTATTATCATAACAATAACTAATTCATTTATTAATCATATATTGAATGATTTTATTTAATAACATATCATAAAACATAATCAATGATATGAATATTATTCAATTAGAGTAGAATATAATGATAAATTATGATAGTGGCAGAGAAATAAACAATCAAAAATTATACAATGAATTACAAAATCATGATAAATAAAAATACTATCATCACAAAAACATTTCAGTATCATACTTTTTGATGATAATAATATTTGTTGTTATGTATTTCTATAGTCAGATAAATCTACTTTTATTGACTTTTTATTTTCACATACATTGAAACAATTTCATTAACATTAAATATTAATTTATTAATTGAATCTTTAGAACAAGAGTTTTTTATGTTTAATAAATGAAAATCTGAAGTTAAGAAAGAATAAAAACAAGAAAAGAAAAAGTAATTAATTAAGTATTAATAGATTTTTCATCTATTCTTCCTAGCTCAGGGGAGACTAATCCCATCCCTGAGCTTATTAAAAAAGAGTAATCTCTTTGTTAAACCTATTCTTTATGTTTTTCTTGCAAAATGAGGAAAGCACTTCTTTGCTTTATTTCTTCCTATTAAGGTTTTTCAAACTTCTTCTGCTTATTTCTTCTTTTTAAGCCTTTGTTTGTTTTCTGCCTTAATTTTAAGGAATTTCATTTTTCTTATTTTATGAATGGGAGAAGAGACTATTTCATTCCTACTATATTACTTTGACTAATCTTCTTTTTAGTCTTATTTTGACTAATCTTCTTTTAGTCATACCCACACTTCAGTAGATTCTTATATTACATCCATGTAATATTCTACTGTATTCTCTTGCTGCACCCTTTGCAGCATTCCCTAATACATTCCTAATTCAAAAGCACCGTCATAACCAGATAATAACTGGGAGAGTCGAAGTATGAATTTGTACTAGGGTTTATGTGTGGTGTTTCAGACGTGCCACCTTCGATCTTAAGAAAGAATAAAAACAAATAAATAAAGATGAGAAACATTGAAGAGAAATAATTCATTATCATTCAAAATAATAAATAACAAAAATAACTAATGTAGATAATATTCTAATAATAAAAATAATAAAATAAGATAAAACTTATACATATTTACTTCTGATTCTTTGAAAATCTTTCTTACTATGATTTTTATTTACCAAAACATATGTTATATCTCTTTACTAACACCTTTTAGTATTTCAAAAATTTCATTCATTTTCTGTTGTATTTATATGAGTGTTTTTTCTTTCAAATATTTCCTAACGCTATTATAATTCCATTTTCTAATTTTAAATCTTGCTAATAATATCCATATTATATTTTATGTCTTTATTATATAAACCCCTTTCTTTTTTCCTTTGTACATCACTATCTTAACTATTATTTATCTTGATTATTTTAATATTTTCATGTATTTCTTTGGTCAAACTTGAATCACATACGTATAAAACTCTTAAAATCAAAATTAAGTGATAAAAACTATGAAATATAAAAAATAAATTCAATAATTATTGGGGTGCGTCAACACATAGTAATGATATTTTTCTCTGATAAGAATCCTCCCCTGGATTTCCAATAACTGGAAGATAACATAAATCAAACAGATATGTGTATAATGGATCAGTAATTGTAAAACCATATTCGTAGTTTTGATACTTTAGGAACTTGCTTGCAAGCTCAAGAATTTGTTCCTTTTGGATTGTGTTAATAATTTTCCCACTCGATGGCTGTTTCTCATACACTCCATGAATATCCTTAATTGTAGGTAATCTAAATTATTGAGTCCTTTTTCTTATTCGACATTTTAACAAGATAAAGAACAAACATAAATGGAACACATGCATCTTTAACTTTTTCTACTGCACTCTTATATCCTTTGAACGAACCTGAATTAAATCCTAAATTCTTAGAAATGTCAGTCAAGTGTTTTAAATGAGATCCAACATTTTTCACTGTTATACCAAGTCGTTGAACAGTTTCTAATTCAAATCCTTTACAAATTCCTGCTAATGAATGATAATTGTTTAATGATTCAAGTTCATTTGCTACTTCGATGAACTTCATCATCATAGCTACTCGATTATTCATATCAGCAAACATCAATATTGTAGTTGCTGTCCAGTTTGCTATTTCATCAATTCTATTTACCATTTCTATCACATGTGAATATCTACAAATTTTATTCCTTTTCATGACACTAGGTAGATTCTCTAGTAATTCACTCTGTTTTACTTTCTTATACATTCCATAGTCGATCATTGTAAGTTGTCTTGCTATTTCTTTTGGTTCACATGAAATAAAAAATTCTGTTGGGAATATAGGTTCATCAGGTATATAAAAATTGATTGGTGGAATCAATAACCCTGCTATGTTTAAGTCTTTAATGTTAGCCTTTCTTTTACATTGAACTCTCATTTCAACAGCTTCTGGTTCTGTCATATTTTCCAAATATCCAATTAATATACTTTCTGCATCTTTTCCTAAATCAGCAAATGTTTTATATATTATTAGAGAAAATACTTTCATTACATTCTTTTTTACAGCTTTATCTCCAGTTCGGTGTGCTTCAACTAACTTCCTTATAAACTCTTTCGATGTCATAAATGACCCAAATGATGATACAATCAATTCTGCAAAATCTTTATCTTCTGTTGTTGTTAATCTCTCAATAAATCCATTCACATTTCCTGATGTTACATGATTCTTTATTAATTGAATATCTGCTTTATCGTGTGACTCCCCAATTTCTGTCTCACTTTGTTTAATACAAACAATTTCTCGTGTCTGTTCACTGAATATCTCAATCACATGATAGACATTTAAGACAAGACTCATTAACTCTACTAATGCCATTTTTTCTTTATAAAAACATCTATCTAAAACAAATTCCCTTTTCTTCTCATCTTTTTTCTTTTTCTTTTCTCCATTCTCTTCTTTTAACTTCCCATATTCTTTAGGTTTCATATGTGCCATTGCATATGCACTCATCAATGCATGTGATATGCTTGTCTTCACTTTTAATGCTGTTTCTCTTATAATCTCTTCTAAATCACCTGGTCTAAACTCTACCTTAACTTCATCTACTTTTTCATTATTTGAAAGCAATCTTTTTACTGTATTTTCTTTTTCTCGTTCAATTATTTCTTCTACAATATCAATATAAGCTTTTAATTCAACTTCATAACTCTTTCTCACTTCCTCATCTCCTCTCAACTTTGATAATCTTTCAAATAATGCTATAATATTAGTAGATAATTCTGTAATATTCACTATTGTTTGGGAACATACATCAAAAAAATCTCCTGAATAATCATCATGAGGTTTCCCTAACATAACAGCACTCAAACAAATAGCGTCTTCCATTGACACAGAAAAGTCAGCAACTTTTTTAATAATATCAGTAAAAGTAAGTTTTTCACAAAGAGCAATTCGTTCATATTCAGCATCATCAGCAATAGTCTCTTCCTCAACAATTGGTTCCATTGAGAATAACCTTGAAGTTACTTTAAACATTGTTGAAGTTTTTCTTAATGCAACTGAATTAACGTCGAAAGTTTTTAATAAATCATTGACATCATTTGTTTTACAATCAGTATCAAGTTGTTCTGCTAATGATTGAATTAATTTATCAACAGAATTAGTGAAACTAGGGTCATCAATAACTTGATCTCTTGCCATCTTTTCAATTTCTCTTGCTACACTATCTATGGCAAATTGTTTACGAATTTCAATAACATTATACATAGGTTCATTATCATTCGTTTTAAGTGTAAGAGCTTTTTGTCTTCTTAAAGTCATTTTATAATTCCCTTTCTTTTCTTTTTTAGTCCTTGTACTTGTTATATAAATCTTTTTTAACTCAGAGTTATCTTTAATTGTTCCTAAGTACTGTTTCATTTCTAACAAATCCATCATTCTTTTATCAAAATCAATTCCCTCATTTGCTTCTTTTTTAATAGATGAAATTTGTTTTGTTAATTCGTCAACTCTTTTCTTAAGTTCTTCTTGTTCTTTCACAAGACTTGCAGAAATACTCATTTCTTATTTCTGAAAATTTTGAGTTCTAAAAATTTTTTTTTTATTCGTTTTTACCTTTCCTTCTTTCAAGTTAATTTTTTAGCTTAAAATAGTTCTTAGCTAACCCTTTAATTTATACTTTTAATTTTTTTTTACTTTTTGTTTATTTTTAATTGTCGAATATCTATTTTAAGGTTTTTGTAATTAATAAAAAAATTACTATAAAAAGACATTATATAATAAACATTCCAAAAAAAAAGACCGATAAAAACAATTCTTTGTTCTTTCTTCAATTTAATCAAGATAAATGAAATTTTTAATCTTCATATCGTACTTGGTATGGCTCTGGTCCAAGGAATCCTTTATATTCTGGGAATTCATGAATACTTTTAAGTATTTGTGAATAATCAAATTCACCATTGTTAGGATATGATTGTTTGTCCCATTCAATGTTGAATTGAACTCCATAATAACTGTCTTGAGTCTTAGCCATAGAAATTTTATCAAGAACGATATAAGGAAGAGAACGATATCCACAAAATGTGGTATTTGTTTGAATTAATTCAATTTGAGAATCAATTGGTTGAATGAATTTATTATAAGAATCTAATGGGAAGTCAGTAAACGTAATTTCTTTTTGTTCATCAGTATTATTTGGATTAACTTCTAAGAATGTGATAGTAAAGAGATATGAAGAATGTTGAGATCGAGAAGTTGATGAAATGAAATATCGTTTAGTAGTATCACAAAAATCACTATTAATACATTTAAATTCAGTTGGTTTTCTTGTATTTAATACATTCTCTTTGATATATTTTTCATTTAAACAAGTTGCTTTTAAATCATATTTAACAACTTTAGAATCTCCAGTTGGTCCTGGGTTCATATAAACACATGAATCCCATCCAAGTGGATTATAAACATTAGCACAAAGAGTACGTTCATCCCATTCACTATGTTCTCCTTTAAGGTATTGATATGAATGACTGCCATAAACAAGAGTATCATCAGTAGAATCTCTAATAATAAATGCTCCACAAGTATTATCTTTAGTAATATAATTATCATTATACCCAACAATAGTAACAACATGATATCCATATCTATTATTTGCTCTTTCAGGAATAATATATTCTCCATCATTAGTAATTCGTTCAGATGGAATATAAACACAAAGATTTGAATTTTCTGGACATTCTTTAATTTCAGCACCTGGAATCTTACCAAGAATATTATCTTTATTGTCTACTTGAATAATATATTGTCCTTGAACCAAAACTAATACAAGAGAAACTGGTCCTTGTTTGACAGCTTCTTTTAATTCTTCAATTGTTCTAAAAGTAGCAATTGATTTAACATCAAATTTTAATGCATTTGTTTTTTGTGCTTGTTCTTTTCCGTCACATTTCCATTCATTATCTTTATTTGTTTGATATTCACAAATAGATTCTGGAAGGACTTTATTAGAAAGAGATGAATATCTCCATAAAAATTGTGGATATCCTGTATTTGTACTATAATCAAATCTCTTTTTTGGACATCCTTTATAATCATCAGCCTTACAAGCCTCAACTGCATCAATAGCATAGGCTTGTTCATTTAATGAAATATATTTATTAGATAAATCTTTATTATATGCATATTCCAATTGGAAAATAGTGCTGAAAACCCAACACGTTGACCTTTTTCCTTGGAATTTTACTGGTGGAAGATTACTTAATACAAATGATGATTTAATTGGTTTAGAATGAGATGATGTATGTTGATTAATAACGTTGACAACTTGTTGTGTTCCATTTCTGATAATATCGGTTGTAACTGTTTCCATATCTGTTTTTCCCATAGGAGGAATAAGAACAAAGGAAATAACAGATGTTGTAATCAAAATAATTGAAACTATTGTGGCAATAAGTACTGCCCATTCCAAAACTGTAAAAAATAGTTTTTGAGTGATCCTTGAACAGCCCATAAGAGACAATAGAATTTACAGTTCTCATGAACCATTTTCTTCTTAAAGAAAATTAATTTGAATTTAACTTTTCCATTATTTCTTCCTTATTTTCTTAGATATTTTTCTTGTATTATTCAGGTTTCTATTTTATCTTTCACTTCCCTTCATATAAAAAAAATCTGAAAAAAAAATCTTTTTTTGAAGTTCTTATTAATTTCTATTTATACTGATACAATTATATGAATGAACAAATTTTTGTTATTCTGATGAATGTCGCATTAAAAAATAAATAGGGTTTTTAAAATTAATAATATTATCATTCAATGCTTTCACCTTTCAAGAAATCAATTGCTGAAACAATTTCTACTGTTGCTGGTATTCCAATTGATTTTGCTGAACGATCAGTTGAATTATGTAAAAAGAAAGAGCTTGGAGATTTTTCTGTTCCTGTAGCAAAAATTATCAGACAAATGAAAACCGAAGAAAAAAATCCTAGTGCTGTTGCTTCTAAATTAGCTGAACAAATTAAGCCAAATGATATTATTTCAAAGGTTACTGTTACTGGTCCATTCTTAAATTTCGCAATAAATAAAAGTGCTCTTACTAAGATGATTCTTAATCAAGTTGCTGAAGAAAAAGAGAAATTTGGTGGAAGTACATTAGGAAAAGGACAAAATGTTATTGTCGAGTTTTCATCTCCTAATATCGCTAAACCTTTCCATGCAGGACATTTACGTTCTACAATTATTGGTAATTTCATTGCAAATATTCATAAACTTCTTGGATTTAATGTTATTTCAATGAATTGGTTAGGAGATTGGGGAAGTCAATTTGGTCTTCTTGCTATTGGATTTGAGAAATATGGAAGTGAAGAAGAATTAAAACGTAATCCAATTAGACATTTATATGATGTTTATGTTAAAATTAATGCTGATAAAGCTAAAGATGATAATGTTAGAGCTCAAGGTAAAGATTTCTTTAAACATATGGAAATGGGAGATGAAGCTTATCTTGTAAAATGGAAGTTATTTAGATCATTAGCCCTTGAAGACCTTAAGAAGACATATGGAAGATTAAATGTTTCATTTGATGTTTTTACTGGAGAAAGTGAGACTGATTGGGACTTAGTTGGTCAAGTTCTTAAAGACCTTGAAGCTAAAGGTATTTCCAAAATGGATAAAGGATGTCTCATAGTTGATTTAGAAAAATATAAATTAGGTATTGCTTTATTAAAAAAGGATGACGGATCAACTCTTTATTTAACTCGTGACATTGCTTCTGCTATTAAGAGACATAACACCTATTCATTTAGTAAATGTTATTATGTTGTTGCTACACAACAAACATTACATTTTAAACAATTATTTAAGATACTTGAATTATTAGGATACAGTTGGGCTAAAGAATGTTATCATATTAGTTTTGGTATGGTTATGGGTATGTCTACTAGAAGAGGTACTGCTGTATTTTTACAAGATATTCTTGATGATGCTAAAGCTACAATGTTAGAAAATATGCAAAAGAATCCAGAAAAGATTTCAGAGATTGATGAAAATGAACGTGAAGCAGTTGCTGATAAGATTGGAGTTTCTGCTGTTTTTGTTCAAGATTTTAATGCTAAAAGAATTAAAGATTATGAATATAACAGAGAAAGAATGACCTCATTTGAAGGATATACTGGACCTTATTTACAATATGCTCATGCACGATGTTGTGGTGTTGAAAGAAAGTCAGGAATTGAAATTCCAAAGGCTTCAGAAGTTAATTTCTCATTATTAACAGAAAAAGAAGCAGAAAATCTTATTATGAACATTGCTAAGTTTGGTGATGTTATTATGAACACTTATCGTAATCTTGAACCAAATACACTTGTTTCTTATTTATTTGAATTATCTCATGTCATTGCTTCTGCATTCTCTACTCTCAGGGTTAAAGGAAGTGAACCAGAAATAGCTAAAGCTCGATTATTCCTATTCTATTGTGCAAGAATTGTTTTAGGAAATGGCTTAAGACTCCTTGGATTAGAGCCATTAGAAAAGATGTAAAAACGACTTTTAGTTTTTTGACATCCTATTTAAATTGATACTTTAAATTAAAAGTTATTAGTTTTGTTTATAATAAAAGTATTAAATTAATTAATTTATTCTATAAAAAACTTAAAAAAGATTATTTTATCCATGCAAGAAGTTAATGTTAATATCAGTGTTGATCAATATGTTCAAATGAAACTTGCTCTAGAAAAGATTGAACAAATGGAAAATGAAAAAAAAGAATTAAAGACAAAAATTGAACATCTAAGTGAAGAAAATTTTCAGTATGTCAAAGAAATAGAAAATTTAAGAAAACAACTTAATGAAGAAAAAATAAATAAAGAGGTTAGTAAGATTGAACTTGCTAAAATGCAAGGAGTTATTTATAAACTAGAAGGAGAAAAAAGTATTTTAATATACCAAGTGGATAGTTTAAAAAATGACATGTCATCTTTACAAGTTAAATTAAATGATTTGTTACAAAACAAAAAAGAAGAAGGAATTGTTTTTCCATTAAGACACGAAACCTTATCCTCTGGTTTAACTATTAGTTCTATTTTACCACCAGAATCATCTATAATGTAATTTAGTGTTGGAACTATTATCAACTTTGTTTTTACACATTTTTAGTTGTAGTTTTATTAATGAAATAATAATATTAAAGAAGTAAAGAATCTAAACAATGAAATAAATTTCTTTTATTAGTAAATGATAATGAAAGTGACTAATATATCTTTTTAATGAATATCGTTCAATTAAAATTATTTATCAATATTAAATTTTTAAATGAATGAAGTAAATAATATACCTTTTGTTTCTTAAACAATAATTTATTGAGACAAGAATAATAAATAATTGAAAGTTTATTAAGTCTTATAGTGAATTGTCAAATTTATTTTTGATTTTAATGTTTATATAAATTGTAGGATTATATTATTCTACTCTTTAAAGACTTAAATTAATTTATTTTTTTTTTGAGAAGATTTAAATAATAATTTATTTGGTATTTCTTTATTCTTTATCTTGATTCTTAATGAATTTACATTACACAAACCATTTACTTTGTCTTAAACTTAAAGTAATTTAAATGAAAATTACTCTTTAACATTACAGGTTTTATTAAACAATGTTTAAAATTTACGTTTTTACTAATTTATCAAAGTAATTATTGTGTAAGTTATATGCTATGACTTTAGACTCCTATTTTATTGTTTTTATTAAGTCTGGTCTTTATGTTCTCGAACAGTTTGCACTAACTCCTCAAAGTATTCTTCAATCTCTTTAAAAGAAGGTCGAGAGTCAACAGTTCCTTTCCAACATTTCTTGATCATATCATGATATAAACATTTTTTAGGAATATGAAGTCGTTTCCCTGCACAAACAAATCTAAAAATTGACTCTGCATTAGGAAATTCATCACTACTATATGGAGGTTTTCCTAACCATATTTCTAACATACAAACTGCAAATGAAAATACATCTGATTTAAGTTTGAGTATTCCTTCTGAATGAATTTCTGGAGCCATATACATTGGCGTTCCAATATCTTTTTTTTCTTTTAGATTTGATTGTTCAATAAAACATTTTGAAGTTCCAAAATCACTAACTTTACACACAACAGCATCATAAGGATTATCACTTAAAACTAACACATTGTCAGTTTTGAGATCTCTATGGATAATATTATTTTCATGGAGATATAACATTCCACGAGAAATGTCTTGACAAAAACGTAATTTAAGATGAACTGAAGTTGGCATTGATTGAAGATATTTTTTCAATGAACCTAATGGACAAAATTCTAATACTAAACATACTGTTTCTTCATCAGCACAATACCCAATAAATGAAACTATGCATGAAGAACGTAATTTTTCTAATAATTTAACTTCTTCAGTAAAAGGTTGTATGAGATCAGCAATAGATACAATATCAGTTTTAATAATTTTTACAGCAACATCTAGACTTCTCCAATGTCCTTTATAAACAATACCAAATGTTCCTTCACCTATTGGAGGTTGATAGGTAGTAATATCATTAATATTTAATTTATATGATAAACTACTTTGAGCTTCTAAAGTTAAAGTTACATAAAATCGTTTTGCTTTTGATGGTTTTACACTAACCTCATCTGATGAGGTTGAGTTTTGGTTTGAAACACTAGAGAATGATGACCTAAATGAACGTTGAGACTTATTTGATTTATCTAGTTTTGTTCCATTTAAACTAAGTTGATGTTGATAATTGTTCATTAATTTTTTAAAATGAGAAAATCCAATAGTAACTTTAATTTCTTCACTAAGAATTGTAGTACAATGCATCAATAATTGTATTTTAATTTCTTTGTTTTGACCCTTTCTAAGTACACCTCTACATGGAGTAAAAACTAAATCATATTTCGATTCTTTTTTTCCATGAAAGATAAAGTTCATTGTTTCATTTGAAAAGTTAGTAATAACACAAGTTGACTCAACAACAACACCTATATCTATATCTGTTTTGTTATTCATAAAATTGATAGATTGTGGATGAATATTAAAATATTCATTTAGAACAGGTATTTTATAACAATCAGCAGAATCAAATGGAATTATAGCATCACTGAAAATAATATTTTGTTGATTTAATTCGAATTTAATCCTGTCTATTAAGAGAGAATATTTAATAGAATTTATAATTAATAAAACTAAAGCAAAGCATATATATATTCCTAACCCAGGAAGAAATATTGTTAATGCTATTAACTTTGTAGAGTATCTCCTACAATCAGAACTATGTTTTGAGTACCATCCTGGTTGGCATTCACATTCAATACATCCTTTTCCTCCATCACATTCTTCTCCTGCATCAAATCTTCCGTTACCACATGAAGGTAAAATACAGTCTTTACGTGCCTTAGCATAAGCATAATAATCACCAATACAATGACAATGGTCACATCCTCTTCCACCATCACATTCTTCATATTCATCTATTTTATTATTTCCACATGTTGAAATTGCACATTTTGTAATCCCATTAATGGTGACAGGTACATATCCAAAGGAACACATACATGTCTCTTCAGAACAATAATACTCAATAACAGTTTTATTAGATGGGTCACATTCTTCATTTTCGTCAACAACACCATTTCCACATTTTGTACACCCATTATTTCTCTCAATATACCCTTCATTACAAATACATCCTCCTTTAGATACAGAACATACTCCATTTAAACAATTATATGGACAAACTGTAGAAAACTCAACATTTAACTGGGTTTTTTCTGTTGCTGAAACAAAGATAAAATAGTCATACGATGAATCTAATTTATGCATTAATTTTGCTGCAACTCCACAACCTCTATCACTATAACCAACACAAGTACTGTCACCTTCACCACAACTAACATTAGATAAATCATCATTTATCTTTGGGACTTGTATGAGATGGATGTAAGTATCATAAAGAACTGAATTATTACAAGCAGATACCATAATTGTTTCATCAGCACCTTTAAGAAAAAACCAAGTGCCAGGTTGTGGTTGACGAGAACATGAGGATAAACTTGTTAATGAGTTAACAGTATTGACTACTGCAGTAAATGTTGATGATATCATGTCACTCCATAAAAGATGAACAGATCTTTCTGAGCAAGGATGATTAATTTTTCTAACATACAACTTCAAATCAGTTGTAGGTACAAGTCCATATTGACCAAATACATGAAGGTAATACTTTCTAACTTGATAATAAGAAAGGAATGAAGCTGATAATATATAATCATTTAAATCATTATTTTTACCAAGACAGGTTGCAAATCCAATTTTATCTGTTTTAAAACACTCATTTTGTACAGTTATAACTGAATCAAATCCATAACGAAATTGTTGAGCATTAATATATTCAATCAATGTTTTAGAATATTCTTTTTCAGTTTCAATAATATAATACCCTTCATCAATGACATTAAGTTCAATCCAAATTCCTTTAACATAAGGAGAACGTGGGTTAAATGCAGAATTACAATGACCAACAGTTAGTCTAAAATCTTTTAAATATAATGTGTATTCTTGAGTATTACTTAATAACGAAGAGTCCAATTGAATTGTTTTAACAGTACTCAAAGAAGTGTCAGTTAACATTTTATAACAACCATAAACATCACTCAAATTATATGGAACACAATTCATAAAACCTTCTATATGATATCCATTTCCACAACTATGACAATCCCATTGATACTCAGGTTCAATACAACGAGTACATTCATTTGGACTAATACAACCACCAATACAGCCTTCAATATCACATTTAGGAACACAAACACTATTAACACTTTCATACCCATTGTCACAATAACAATTTGTACAATGTTCTGTAGAATCACATTCTTCATCAAACACATCAACAATTCCATCTCCACAAACTGATATATTAATATTTTGGCACATCGTATACCCAACTAAGAAGAAGAATATAATTTCATGAATCATGAACAGATGATTAATAAAAATAATATTCAGTTTTAAACTATTATCTTTGTTTTATATTTTTTATGTTTTTCTAATTAATTTTTGCAAAAAAAAAAAATATAATTTGTTATTAATTTGTTTTAATTAACTCAAATCTCTCCTTTCATTAAAAAAAAAAGAAAAGAACTAAAAAAAGAAAAGAACTATGGTTTGATTCATCACCATTAAATTGTTTTATTTTAATTATACCTACTAACATTTAGACTATTTACTCAATCGCATTAATATCACGTGGAGGTAATATTTTAACAGCAATACAAAATTATAAATTAAAGAATTTTTCATCAATACTTGCTCAATTCTCAAGATTAGAAAAAGGTAGTCAAGTTACTTTTATTCAATTAGAAAAAATTAAATATATATATCAACCTGTAGACGATATTTATGTTGTATTAATTACTTCAATTAATTCTAATATTGTTGAAGATACTCAAATTCTTCAATGCATTGTTTCTGTATTATCACAACGACTTGATGGTATAACAGAGGCAAAAATATGTTCAGATGTTTTTGTGATTACTGATGTTATTTCTGAATTTTGTAACTTTGATGGAACATGTGAAAAATTAACTTCGTCTGATATTGAACAAAACTTAGTTATGCAAAGTCAAGAAGAAGAACTTTATTTCCTTGAACTTAAACAAAAGAAAAGTGATGCTAAAAAACTTGCTCAACAAAAAGCTTCAGAATTATCAGCAGAAAAAAAGTCAAGAGAAAAATTGGAAAAACAAAAAGGAAAAGAACAAAAAGCTATCGATGAAAAGTATCAAGAAATTCAACGAATTCAACAAGAACAAATGATTAAAATGCAAGAAGAAGAGGAAGAAAAAAGACGTATTGAAAAACAGAAAAAGAAAGAAACAATCAAAATGAAGAAAGGAGGTATTACTCTTGGTAAACAAAAGAAAATTTTATTTGACGAGGATGAAGAAAAAATTCTTAATAATGAAGATGATGAAGATCGTTCTACTAATCAACAAGAAGAAGAAGAACAAAAACAACAACCAATTCAAGAAAAGAAATTAATGACTGAAAATATGATTGTTAAATTAATCGAAAATGTTTCATGTTCAATGTACTCTGAAAATTCTACTTGTTCATTAAGTTTATCTGGTTCATTAAGTGTTTCTGTTGCTGATGCTTCTTTAACACATACTCCTATTACTATTAATCAATATGAATTACCATTAAAAACACAATTACATCCTCAAATGGATACTACTGCTTTTAGTAAAGATCATATATTAATTCCAAAAGCCAATGCTAAAGGATATGCCATTGGACCAACACCATCTCTTCTTATCAAATGGAGTTACGCTTCTACAGACAATGAGTCTTTACCAATTAGTGTTACTTGTTGGCCATCAGAAGAAGAGAACCACCTTAGCATGACAATTTCATATGAAACTAAAAAACAATTAAATAACCTTCGTATTATTGTTCCTGTTAAAGAAAATGTTATTGTTGATAGTTGTGAAGGAACATACAATATGGAAGATGGACTTGTATGGATAATTGGAAATGTAGAAAATGGAAGTACTGGAGCTATGGAATTTACATTGAACGATAATAATCTAAGAACAGATGATATGTTTCCAGTCAAAATTGACTTTGATGTTGACCAAACATATTCTGGTATGAAAATTAATGAAATTAAATTGGATAATGTTGATACATCAATTCAATGTACAACTGACTTCAAAGTTTTCCCATAAATCAAATGAAATTCTTTTTTATTTCAAATAGTGTTTCCTTTTTCTTTTTTTAATTAATAAACAAGGAATAGGAATAGTCTTGTATAATTCTATTCTTTTATTGAAAATAAGTATTTTTTTAAAGGGACTGTTATTCAATTAAGTCTTTCTTCCTTTTTCATTTTTGAGACAAATTTAGATTAAGAAAAATCCATTTGAAGTTATTTCAAAAACATCATCGTGGAGATTAAAGTCCATTATTTTTTGATTAGTTTCGTTACATTCATCAAACACATGGCTTGGTGCTGAAAGAACTAATTTGATTGGGTTTGAGTCACGTGGAGGAATAACAATATCATCACAAATTCTATCCCATTCAAGATCAGAAAATTGAGATGTATAACCAACCTCATCAAACCCTTCTGAAAATACACTGTCTTCTTCAAACATATATTCATTTACTTCATCAGTTTCAACAGTGATTTCACTGTATGGTAAAAATACAATACTTAAAATGAGTTTAAGACAAACGTTTGCTTGAATAAGTGTTGTGCTATTGGTCGTAAAACATTCTTCATTGGCAAGCGTGAATCAATGACTAATTTTTAAGATCTTGAATGAATCATTAACAAAATTAAAGAAAAAAAAGAAGTACTATTGTTCCATATACCCATTAAAATAATAATAAAAAGAAAATCAATTAATATTTTTATAATTTCTAATTCTTTTAAACCTTTTAATGATATTAATTAAAAATCAAGAAGAAATAGATTATTCTTTTGGAAAAGCATCACAAAGGTCAATGAGATGTTTATTATAAAATGAGTTTCCAATACATTTACGGAGGAATGGAGATAAGTCTATTGTTGGAGCATGAGCTGCAATAGAACAAAAAGATTTTATAGATAAATGAGTTGAAATTAAATCAAAGATTGTATCTCTCAAATCGTCTTCATAAGTTAATGCTTCAACTGCAATTTTTTCTAATGCTTGTTGGTCATTAAATAACTCTTTTATATATCCAAGAATTACACCTTTATAATGTAAATGAAGGAAGTTAATAAATTCACCACAATTAATTTTCCTAACAGCGTAATGTTCAATAAATTGAAGTTGAGGATTAATAGAATTAATATTACATTGGAGTTGATGTTCTTGAGTTAATAAAGAAATAATTTTTTTTATAAAAATGTTTGTTAACAATTCTTTTGGAATCCATTCTGGTACTTGACAATTAATTTCATTTAAACTACGTTCAAAAATCACTTTATATTTTTTGTCTAATGTTTCATGCATTGGGTATTCCAAAGTTGAATTAATTAACTTTAAATACATTTCTAATAATTGACTTCCATAACTTTTGTTTTCTTTATATAAATGTTCATAAGCAGCTAGTTTTATTACTTCACAAGTAGGTTGAGAGTCAATATATTTTTGTGATAATTCAATATCTGATTCCATTAATGCAATAAATAATAATGGTCTATTATTTTCAATCACATTAACAATTGGTTGTTTGATTACTTTTCCTCCTCTGGTATCAAATAAAATAGATTTATATTTATTAATAACATCATATTCATATGACTTACTTCCTCGAGTATTTAATTCTTTAAAGATATCTATTTTACTTGCTTCTTGAGGTTGTTCATGTAACATTAATATATATTCTGCATAAACACAACATGTTTCAAGATAATAAGCAGCTTCTTGTTCTTTAGTCCCTTTTCTTTTTTGGGAAATAATTCCTTTAATTTTCTGTCTTTGTTTTCCTAATTCAAGTAATGAATTTAATTCTTTAGCATGGTCTTGAAATGCTGGTTGAATGGTTATTTCAATAAATTTCTCAGTATCACTTTCAAGTAATCTAAAAACTTTGTCATATTCTGTTGCCATTAATGTTGCTCCTATTTCTTTATTTGACTTAAAAAATATTTCATCAAAATAAAGATTAATACAACTCTTTACTTCACAAATGATAAACCTATCAACAACATGACTAAATGATGTATTTGCTTTAGAGAAATAATATGCTGCTAATTCTCCTTTCTTAGAATCTAATAATTCTTCTGCAATAATAGAGTATAATTGTTTTAATGTATCTTTAACAACTATAGCCTCATCACTCATAACATCTCTCCAATACAAATCAGTCCAATTATTGTTTTTCCTTCTAATAAAATGATGTATATCACTAATATATGCTTCAAGAATAACACTTAATTCGTAATATGTTTTATAAGAAATAGCAATTTGAATTGCACAAGTATCTTGGTTCTTTTTTAATTGAGCTATTGTTCTTTGCATATCATTTTTAATTTCTTGACATAAACGAACAACTAATGGTTCTAATATAAACACTTCATTGAAAGTTTGATCTGTAACACTATTTCTTTCTGGTCCAATACTTCTCACAATAACTACTTTATGATTTACAACGACTAAATCAGTTATACCTGGAAGATTAATTTTAGACATACAAGGAAGATCAGTAGTAGAATCTCCAACTCTAAACTCATTAATTTTTCCCATATCTGCTTCAAATTGATTAGAAAAATATTTCCTAAGTGGATAAATATCAATTGCACTCATACCATTTTCTTGGTGAAGTCTTAAAACATGACATGGAGTAGCAACTATTTTCCCTTTATTATCATCTTTTGTTTGTGTAAAATTATATGATGAAATCATTGTAATCTTCAAATCAGAATTATTATATGAAATATAATAAACTTCAAGTTTGTTTTGTGAACCAAGAACAACTCTAACTCCTTCTTCTTTTTCTTCTATTCTTTGTGGAATAAATACAGTAGTATCTAGTCCAATCATACGTTCTTGCATTAATGTCATAGCATGAGTAATATGTTTTTCACCATATACTTCAACATCTATATCAACAGCATTCCATCTATATTTGGTATCAGGAACAATAGGATCTCCAAGATTATCGAAGAATTCTGTTCTACTAACAATTCTAATATCCATTATTGTAACAATATGATCAACATAATTGATAATATAATCTCTATGAATTTTAATTATTCCCCCTTTACACTGAATTTTAGCAATTAATTTTACAATATCTGTTATTTCATATAATAATATCCCAACATTTTCAACACTTACAGCAATTCTACCATCATGTGCTGCAATAGAAATAATTTTATTTCCAACATCAATTATTTCACTTTTTCCATTTCTTTCAACGTCCCAATAAATAACTAATTTATTTGTGTATGGATCATTATTTTGTGTTTCAACAGAAATAATATGACCAGGAGAAAGGTAACAATATTCTTCAATTTTACCATAAACACTTTCAAATGAAACAGGAATATATAAGTATGTACTTGTGGTTTCTATTCTAATAGTTGAATATGAATTATGATTTACTTTAATAGCAAGTTTGTCATCTCCAAAATTAATAATTCCATCAAATCTTCCATTTTGAAACTGTTCTAATTGTCTATATTCAAAGAAATGAAACACATTATTTGTACTCGGTTTAACTCTTTGAGAAAGCATAAAGTCTATTTCTAGTTCTTAATTTTTTTTCTTTATTAGAAAATTCTTTTTTATTTTCTTTTGAAAAAGAATAACACAATATTATTCTGTTATTTAAAACAAAAATATGAATTATTATTGTGAATTTCCTTTTAATGAAGTTACTAATTCTCTGACTTTAGTTTCAAATTTCTTTGATTTAATAATCATTTCTGAAATAATAAATGGATTTTTTAATACGTAGTCCGTATAAAGAATATATAATTGTGATAAAAATTCTCCAAGAACTGGTGCTGATTGAGGTGAAGCTATAACTAAAAACTCAACTCCAGTTTGTGTATGTAAACATTGTAATGAAAAATTACTTGTTTGTATTTTTTGAATTCCATCACTCTCTTTTAATAATGGATTTATCTGACTTGCAACTACACTAAATCCATGAAAAGATGATGCTAAATATAATGGATCATTTTCAGTTCTTTTAGTTGGTTTTTCACTAAAATCTCTCATCCACTGAAGAGTACCTGTTTTATTGATAATAATGACACTATAAATTTGAACATTCATGTTTTATTTTTTAAAGTTCTTTTTTTGTTATAAAAATACTATTTTCTATTAATTTTTTTTTAAACCAATTTTATTCTTTCGTTCAATTAATAACACTCTATTGAGGTTGTTTAATTCATTGATTGTATAAGATGATCAAATAAATCTTCTGGTGTACTATATTTAAATAACGAAATGAATTCTTCCCATTGAGCACCAAGACTTTCTACCATTGGTTTAATAATGGTATTTAACTCATCAAGAGTATTAACATTTTTTATCATATTATAGTATTTTTCTCCTACAACTTTAATAAAGTCTGGCTCAATAATTAATGGGACATTCTTTTCTCTTAGCTTCTGAATAATTTCTTTATCTTTTTCTTCATCAAATGGTGTTATTTTTTTTCCAACGTAATTGTTTACTATTTTGTCTATCTTTTCTTTCCTTTTGTCATTACTTGCCATTAAATTTATATTTGAAAAAGTGAATTGAGTTGTTGGTTGGACAAATCCAAATGGAGTTGATTGTTGTTGATTAGAAAGATTTCCATTAGTTTGTAAAAGGAATGGATTTTGTTGTTGGGAAGAAATTGTATTTGTTTTACATTCTTGTTGAAAATTAAAAGCAAAACCATTTGTTTGTTTGTCATTGGTTGGTTTTTCAATACTTTGTTCTGAAAAATATTGTGGTGTTATTTGGAATTCTGGTTTAAAGTCATTGGTTTGTCCAGGGTTAAATCGAAGTTCAACAGGACTTATACTAGTTTTCATTAATTGGTCAATGCTAATGTTATTAACATTATCTCCTTTTTTCTTTTCTCCTTTTTCTATTTCTATTTCACTTGCTGACGTAGAACTATCATCATTCATTGAAATACTACTACAGTCATCATCATCGTCATCACAGTCTATAAACTGACCATCTTCAGGTTCATAATTTGTTAATTTAGTTTTTGGTTTTATTTCAGTATGTAACTCTTTTGTTTGGGTTTGTTCTTTTTCTTTAATTGCATTATCACCACTAATAATACTTGAACTTTTCATAGGAAAAACAAAAGGATTTTGAAAAGGGTGTAATGTGTCTGAAGATTGTGTTTTAGTAATAGTTGGTGTAGAACCAAAACCATTAAATAAATTGTTTGTGTTTTGTTGTTGTTGAGAGGGTTGGTCAAGCTTTAAATTGAACATTGTTTTTGATGATGAAATAGTAATAATGAAGTTCTTTTAAAGAAACTACGAGACAACAACTTTTTTCTTAGATAATAAATAATTATAATAAACTTATAATTAAAATGAAGAAGATAAAAGAAAAACAAAATGAAGGGTTTTAGTTTTTTTCTTAAAAAAAAGAATAATTCAAATATGAAAAATTAAATTTTACATACCAACTGATTGATCACCCCCATAAGGACCAGAAATGTAACTTCCACCATTGTAGTCAGAATATACATCTTTTGGATATTGTTGAGTTATAGGTTGTTGTGGTTGAATTGGGATTTGTTCTTGTTGTGCTGAGGTAGCAAGATATAGTTGTATGATTTCATTATAACGAGAGATTTGACTTTTTAAAGCCAGTCTAAATTCATAGGCTTTAAAATAACCAGGATTTTGTTCTTTGAGTTTAGTAAGAATGTATAATGTTGTTTCACGTTGCACTGATTTTTTTTCTAATTCTCTTACAATTTCGTCGTCTGTATAATAAAATTGTAAATATTGTTCAATATTTGATTGAATATAAGAAATATCATAAACATTTTGTTGTGATGCTACTCTTTGTTGAATTCCTATAGATGGTTGTGATTGATATGATGGATAATTTCCATGGCTTTGAAACATTGGAGGTGCTCCTGAATATTGTGATTGTCCATAACTTTGATATTGAGGAGGTTGTGTAGGTGGTTGATAAGATTGATAGAGAGGTTGTCCTTGAACATTCCTTTCAGGAATAGGAGTATTTTGTTGAGGGCCACTAGAGATAGAGCCATTAGGAGGTGGATTTGTGCTCATTGGCTTAACTTTAGAAATTTCGAGTTTAATTTTTGGAAAAAATAAATGTTTTATTATATTTGTAGTAATAATTTACTATAAATTATAGTTTATTGTTTGCAGTTAAAAACAAAAGAGAAAAATATTTTTGGGAGATTTGAAAAATAAAATCATAACGCAAATACTTAATAGTTAAAAATGAATTTATGAAAGCATCACCATTAAATAATCAACAAGAACAATAAAAATAATTGCTAATATTGCTAGTATTACTTGGTGCGGTGTTTCTGAATTTACTGGTAATACTCCATGACCTAATACAACAATATCAACTTTTGGTGATCTAAAGTTAGAGGTAAACATAACTTGTGCAACGGCTGCATTATTTCTTCCACCTCCATAATGACTAGCACTAAATATAGTAAGAACTTTATGGTTATCTGTATATTCAAATCCTTGAGTTTTTACTTCATGACTTCTTATAATTAATGATAAATTATTATCACTTAAGAAACGATTAACAATATCTGGACCAAATTTACATCCAATACCACGAATAGAATTACAAGCACCTTCATTATTTTGTGGATCTGACCAAAGTAAATTCGCTGCTAATTCAGGTACATTAGCATCTTGCATAAAAATATTTCCTCGAGGTAAATTATTAATATCATTCAATGTAATTGGTTGTGGTGGAATACCTCCATGAACAACAAAAACAGAAGTGCCTATCACATGTGCATAAGGAAGTGATTTGAAAAATTCACAAATCACCTGATATGTTTCAGTATCATATTTACCTAAACATTCATTTTTAAATCCATACATCCAATGTAATTCAGGATCTTCATGATTACCACGAGCAAGAAATATTGTTTCTGGTGATGAACAAAGTGCTCCCATTAATGCAGTAATAACTTCAATTCCTTGTTTACCTCGATCAACATAATCTCCATTAAATAAATATTGCCGATTATTTATTCCTTGTGAAAATACTTGTACAATTTCTTCATATTGACCATGAACATCTCCTATTACAGTAGTTGGAAGACGTGTAGGAATATAAACTAATGATGGTCTTATTTTCATGGTCCTAGTAGCCCATTGAGTGAGTCGAATAAAGTCTTGTTTAGGAAGAATTTTAGTTTTTAAAGACTGAATCAAAGAATAAGCAATTCTAGGAGACATTGATGAAGATTGTTCTGGTAACTTAAAGGGTCGATGAATATAAGGAATTAACAATGATAAGACTGAAGGAAAGAATAATAAAATTAAAAAATTTGATGATTCTGGTTTAATAGTAAATATTGTTATCCCCGAAATAATAATACTGAAAAATAATAAATAACTTACCACATAAATCCATTTCATTTTCTTTCTTTTTTATTCACAAAGAATTAAAATTTATAAGTTGACTTTTTTTTGAAGTTCGAATTTCAAAAGAACTGACAAGTTTCATTTTCTTTATTTTATCAAACCACCAAACTAAAATTTTTGGTATATAATTTTATTGTCATATATTACATTTTCTAAAAAGAATATTTGAATGAGTGATTTATTACTTAATTGATAATATTCATCAAATTAGATATTTCCTTTTCTTAAGTTTGTTATTTGTAATTATTGACCAAATTTACTATAATAATACAACGATATTTATCATGAATTTTATGAATAAAGGAAAATTGAATCATTAAGAATAAAACCCTTATTAAAAAATTCCCGAAAGAATGTGATAAGATGAAGTAATAAAAAAACCCTTTTTCAAAGACGTAGACATGAGTTTACACCACGAAACAAACCAGAAAAATGAAATAAAAATTTTTTGATACAGTAGTATTTAGTTTTTTAAATGATTAAATAGAAACCCTATAAAAGGGTTAGAAGAATAATAATTAATCAATAAATGACTGAAGCTACTACTACACCTGTTGAAACACCAATTGTTTGTAACATTCGTGATGCTGCTGGACTTGAAGGTAAACTTGTAACTTTCAAAGGATGGGCATATCATATTCGTAAAGCTCGTAAGACTCTTATTTTTGTTGAATTAAGAGATGGTTCTGGATATTGTCAATGTGTTATTTTTGGCAAAGAGCTTTGTGAACCAGAAAAAGTTAAATTATTAACTCGTGAATGTTCACTTGAAATTACAGGTAGACTTAATGCTTATGCTGGTAAGAATCATCCACCTGAAATTGCTGATATATTAAATCTTGAAATGCAAGTTACTGAATGGAAAGTTATTGGAGAATCACCAATTGATCTTGAGAATATTATTAATAAAGATTCTTCTATTCCACAAAAAATGCAAAATAGACATATTGTAATTAGATCTGAACATACTCAACAAGTTCTTCAATTAAGATCTGAAATTCAATGGTATTTTAGAAAATATTATCATGATAATCATTTTACTGAAATCCAACCACCAACAATTGTTAAGACTCAATGTGAAGGTGGTTCTACATTATTTAAACTTCAATATTTCAATGAACCAGCTTATTTAACTCAATCTTCTCAATTATATCTTGAGTCTGTTATTGCTTCTCTTGGAAAATCATTCTGTATGCTTTCATCATACAGAGCTGAACAATCAAGAACTGTTAGACATCTTGCTGAATATCTTCATCTTGAAGCAGAACTTCCATTTATTTCATTTGAAGATCTTTTGAACCATCTTGAAGATCTTGTTTGTACTGTTATTGATAATGTTATGGCTGTTCATGGTGACAAAATTAGAAAGATGAATCCACATTTAAAACTACCAACTAGACCATTCAAAAGAATGACTTATGCTGATGCCATTAAATATTGTAATGATCATGGAATTCTTAACAAAGATAAACCATTTGAATATGGTGAAGATATTTCTGAAAAACCAGAAAGACAAATGACTGATGAAATTGGATGTCCAATTTTCATGATTCATTTCCCAAGTAAGATGAAGGCATTTTATATGTCTAAAGTTCCAGGTCATCCAGATTTAACTGAGTCTGTTGATCTTTTAATGCCAGGTGTAGGTGAAATTGT